GGTGGCCATGGCCTTGCGGGCTCAGGGCCAATCCCTGTTGGTGGTGGGAGTCTACATGGCGGCGTCAGTGGGGCCCAAGGGCAACGCTTCCAAGCTGGCCAACTTGGGCACGCTGGTGTCAACTGGAGATTGGAATATGACGCCCCAAGAGCTATCCTCGTCGGGATGGCTGGCCTTAGTGAACGGCTCCGTTGTCTTGCCCAGCAATACGGACTACGCGTGCACATTGGGGCGTGGTCGCATGCTGGATTTCGCTGTGGCATCACCCTTGGCATTGGCTTGGGTTGATGGGCTTCAGGCGGATTTCCAGGCGATCGGAGAGGCTGGCAAGGCGCGCTACGGCTTGGAGCTCACGTTGAATTTCGGTGCCAGCAGGGCGCAAGCTTGAATGCTTCACACTCCTCGGGCTTTCCCGCATCCTCCTCGGCCCAAGATCAAGGCTGACCCGCCCAGCAAGAGGTCTAGAGCGAAGGCCGAAGCTGAAGCTTGGAAGGCGGCGCGGCCGCAACCTGATACCACGCCATCTCCTCCGCAATGGGGCCCTAGGCGCAGGTTGGCCATCAAGAGCCCACCCCCCCCGGCAGCGCGCCCTGTGGGGGGAGGACGAGGATCACTTCTTCACGGACGATGAGGACACGGATGTTCCTGAGGGGGAGGTCGAGCAAGGGGCCGCCTCCGACTCGGAACCCGACCTCGACGCATACGCATGTTTTCCAGAATGACTGGGCGGCGGGCATGAATAACGTTTTGTGACAGCAGGTGGCGCCCTCTCGGACTTCAGCCACGGTTCCTGATTTCATGTCTAACCCGCTGGCGTTCAGGGCTGCAGGCGCAGAGGCTTTGTCTTTGGGTGTGCAGTTCGCCGATTGGGTCAGCACCATGGAGTTGTATTAGTTGGAATTGTATAAGGTCGACCCGTTGGTTCGCAAGCAGTACCGTGGGCGTGCTCAGGTCAGGGGGCCTCGCCTTGGTGAGTATAAGGGATCTAAGCCGTACCTGGCCACGTCCGACCCCAGCTCGAAGTGGTGGGCATCTGTTGCTAACTTCTTGGATGTGCTGGTGGGTCAGAGGGGCAAGGAACAGGCACCTGCGACGATTGCTGAAGGAGATGGCTGGATCCATTCCGATTTCGCAGATAGTGCCGCTCCCAGCTCGCCGACGTGACCGATGGGTTCGAGGTCTGCGGCGCCCGGAGCATGCCGCGCCCGATTCCATCAAGCAGTTTGCTGAGGGCGCGAGGAAGGCGTCCGATCAGGCCCAACGCGCAGTCGCTCGTGAGCGGCACCAATTTTTTTGGGACTGGGTCCATCAGCAGGCTGCGCGTGGGCGCGGTGCTCTACACAGGCATGTCCGCGACGCCACCGCGGAGGTCAGCGAGCTCAGGATCGACGGTGAAACGTCGTGGGGTGCAGCGTCGTCGGCGATGGAATCCAGGGCCAGAGTTTGGGGCAAGCTGTAGACGCCTGCTGACTACGACGACGAGGAATCGTTGAGGATTCTATCTCGAGCCCAGCAGCTGGCCATGGGCGACGCGCTGGAGCCTCTCACACTGGAACAGCTGGATGCTGCTCTCCGACGTATACCTCCTCGGAAGACTCGTGGCATCGAGGCGGTGGGGCAGCGCGACGTCTGGTGGCTGCCTGAGGCGGGCCGTTCAGATCTGCTTGCTCTGTTTCATGCTATTGAGTCCCAGGTCGCGTGGCCTTGGCAGTGGCTGCCCGCTCTCGTTGTTCTGCTGCGCAAACTTGATGTGCGCAAGGACAGCGCCATAGGCTTACTCACTTGGCTGGGTCGTCTGTGGAGCCGCACGCGGTCTCGGCCTGCGGAAGTGTGGGCTGCGGCCCGCTCGGGTCCTTGGGGCGCCGCGGTCCGAGGCAACAGCGCTCTGCGGGAGGCTTTGCTCAGGTGTTTTCGATGTTTCGAAATGCCAGGTGTTTTTGATTTGCGAGGAGGCGTGTGCCAACAGTTCTCTTGTTACGCTCCGCACGTGGACGGATGACGTCACGCAGCGTGCCGAGGGGCTTAGGCGAGATGTGATTCGTGAGTTGGTCCGCGCTGGTTCCGTTTCTGGCGAAGGTTGTGCTGGTGAGCGACTTCTGCCCGCCAGAAAATTCACGATCGTGGCATATGAGCTTTCAGTGGCACGAGCTATCCAAGCTGGGCTAGGATCGAATGGCACCCAGGTTCAGGTGGCCTCGGTCGTGGCCGATCTTGGCATCAGGCGAGGCAGTGGGGTCGCGGGGTCCAAGCCCCGACGCTCCAGGCGTTTGAACCAGGCTCATCGGCGAGCCGTCCGAATTAACAAGCTGTCGACGGTGGCTCCTCGCAAGATCGGGGCGCGGTTGATCCTCGCCGGGGCTTTGCCGCAGGCGCCCCACGCCTGGAAGGTATTTGGGGTCGCGCCATCGGTCCTCCATAAGTGGCGGCGAGCCCTGGCCAGCCCTCTCGCCCGCAGCGCGACGGGGCGGCGTTTAACCACTCTTCTGGCTGTGGAGGTTCGGAGAAAGAGCCCCGCCTTTTCAGCAATGTTCCAATTGCTGGAGTCGTGGTTTCAAGTCGTGGCCTCTATGCCGGAAACAAAAGTGCGGCTCGTGTGCTCGCTTGCTGGGGAGACACGGTCGCTCGGATGTCTGATTTGGGCCCCTCCCGTCGGTGGCATAATATGCGTGGGCCTGTCTCGGCGGTTGTGGCGACGATCTTGGACCTGGGATGGAAGCTCGAGGGCCCTTGGTCGTGGGTGGCTCCTGGGGGCGATGTTTTGGCTGTTCCCGACGAGCTCCGATCCCAGGCTTATATGACGTAGGACTTCAAAGGTGAGGTCGCTCGCAATACAGAGAACCGTCTGTGGAAGGCCGCTGCCACCTACAGACACGGGAGTGGTTCCGATATGGGTGTGGATTTGACGGTGGCGTGGAAGCATCTGGCCTCCCTGCGTCGCAAGTCTGCCCAGAAATGGGGTCGCCTCCGCTCCGTTGCCGCGGGGTGTGTGGACGCGGGCTCGCGTCCTGGCGTGCGGGGGCGAGACCGAAGAGTCCTGCCCCAGATGTGGTGCAAGCCCTGAGACGGACATCCACCGTTTCTGGGAATGCCCGTGCAAGCATGAGTTTCAGGAGATCGATCAGGCTTTCGCCAGGAGGGCTGCAGCCGCATCCATAGATTTGCTCTGTTTCTGGCTTCGCGGCCTCGTGCCCCGATCTTGGGCCGAAATGCCTCCTCCTCCCGATGGCCCGCTCTCCGTCGCTTCTGGTGTTTCCGCGTCTTGGTGGGGGAACTCGCATCTGGGGCGCCGGAGACGCGAGCGGGGGGGAGTTCTCGAGGGACAAACGTCCGAGGAGGGCGTCGTGGGGTGTCGCGGTTTTTGAGCATGATGTTTTAACTTCCCCGCATGTTTTGACCAGTTCTGGTTTAAAGTTTGTTTGTGGGGGTGGCATTGTAGGTAAGCAGTCTGTCAACCGAGGGGAGTTGATGGCTCTCGTTGTTTTCCTGGAGGCCGCCCAGAGCTGCTCGAGTCTTGGGTGCGCGTGCGACTCCGCATATGTGGTTCGGGGCTTTGAGCGCATCCAGGCTGGCCTCCAGGAGCGTGTTCTGACCCACGTCGACTTGTGGGGGCGTGTCCAGAGCGCTCTGTCCCGCGTGGGCGAGGTGGCTCTCGTTCAGATTCCGAGCCATCTGTCTGTCGCCGAGGCTCTGGCTCGGGGTCTCAATCCTGGCGCGGTGTTGGCGAATGCTGTGGCGGATCAGGTCGCAGGCCATTTTGCCGCCCTCGTCCAAGTGCCGCATGCACAATCCGCGCCTGTTCGTTTTGCGGACGGCCTCGCTCGTAAGGTGCAGAACCATCTCGTGGCTGTCATGGGGGATGTGCTTGAGAAGGAAGGCCGCCATCCATCCCGTCCCCCCCAAGTTGCGGGTTCGGCAAACGGCTCGGGAGCGTCTCCGCAAGGCTGCGGGCTCCTCCGATCATAAGTGTGCGATGATATGTGGAGATTTCGCCCGTTGCCAGGCTTGTGGGTGTTCAACGTCGGCTTATGATTTAACGGCCTTTTTGCCGTCCCCGTGCTATCCGATGGTCTGGTCGGGAACCGTGTTCAGACCGTCGGCGGCCATCTGTGTCAGAAGTCGACTGGTCCACCCTTCTCATGATGTTGCGTATTGGCCAGAGGCAGATATATTGTGGTGTCTTGTCTGTGCGCCTTATTGTTCGTCCCACCTGCGTGATTTATCTGATGAATGCACCAGGAGGGTCACCAGGGCGGGTGCCCAGACCCTGGCCAGGATCTCCCAGGGCAAGGTTCCTGGGAGCTGTGTGTGGGGGAAGGAGAGGAGAGCCAGAGCGGGTACTGTGGGGGTGAGTGGTGAGAGAGGGGGGAGAGCGGCGAGCGCGCGCGCGGCGCCCCGCCGTGCGGCGGCGGCGCTCCTGTAGAGCGACGGCACGGCCGTCGCCCACAGGCGCGCGCCCCGCCGCCGCCCCGCCTCCGCCCCCCCCGCCCGCGGGGCCTCCTTCTCCTGCTCCTCCTGCTTTGCGTTAGCTGCTGCTTCACTGGTCATTGCGACTGCTTGCTATATATACTCCTCCTCCTCCTCCTCCCTCCTCCTCCTCCTCCTCCTCTCCTCCTCCTCCTCCTCCTCCTCCTCCTCCTCCTCCTCCTCCTCCTCCTCCTCCTCCTCCTCTCCTCCTCCTCCTCCTCCTCCTCCTCCTCCTCCTCCTCCTCCTCCTCCTCCTCCTCCTCCTCCTCCTCCTCCTCCTCCTCCTCCTCCTCCTCCTCCTCCTCCTCCTCCTCCTCCTCCTCCTCCTCCTCCTCCTCCTCTCCTCTCCTTCTTCGGACAACATCGGAAACGGGAGGGAGCCGTCTTCGCTCTTCCCTCCTCTCTCGTCCCTCGTCCTCCTCCTCCCCCCTCCCTCCTCCCTCCTCGTCCCTCGTCCCTCTTCCCTCCTCCCTCCTCCCTCCTCCTTCCGCCCGCCCGCCCCCCTCCCCTCTCTCCCCCCCTCCTCCCCCGATCTCCACGGCGCTGCCGCCGCCGGGCGTCGACCGCGTGCTGCCCGCGGCAGGTTCCGCGGGCGCCGCCAGGCCGCTGGGCGCGGGCGCCGCGGCCGCGGGCTCGGCCTGAGCGGCGGCCCCAAATCTCTCAGCATGTCAATCTGATTTTTTGTTCCCCGATGTCGGCCTCTGGCGCGGCGACACGCTTCATCCTCCTTCCTCCTCCCTCCTTCGCTCCTCCCTAAACGCCTCCCTTCCTCCTCCTCCTCCTCCTCCTCCTCCTCTTGTCCTCCTCATTGTCTCTGTTTTCCTCCTCCTCCTCCTCCTCCTCGTCCCTTCTTCTTCTCCTTCTTCTTCCTCGTCTTCTGCTTCCTCCTCTTCCTTCTCCTCCTGCTCATATCCTCTGCCCACTGCCCGCTGATCCCTTCCTCTCCCTAGCCGAGCCCTTCCCTCTCAATCCTGGCTGGAAGCGGGCGACGATGACGACGACGACGACGACCAAGATGAGGACAAGGACTTCGACGGCGACGAAGAGGACAACGTGGACGAGGACACCCCAAAAAACTATCTCTTCCATCGGGGCAATGTTTCATCCCGGACACTTCTTCGAGGGCTCCTACGGCCCCGAAAGCGGATACCAGGGAGCGGAATTGTGGGAAACCTCGTCCGATCCTCGATCGATCGACGGCGGCAATCGGGGCGGGCGAACGGCATTAGCGAATCAGCTCATGCACCTGGCTTTCCTGGCGCCCCCTTGCTACCGAGGAAAGCGCCTGGCAGCGGAGCCGAAAACAGCTGCCCGCAGCAGAGTTCGCAACTCTGTTCTCCTATCCTCGGGTGCGCCTGAGAGGATGGCCCGGATGAGGGAGGGTGCGCATCATGATCCCGACGCGCGTTCGGGGACGAGCGGGGGCCAGCGGATGTGAAAGAAGAAGTGGGTCATGAGATCTGGGAGATATCATGGCCACGGCCACGATATCCAGCCCCATGGTCCTCACCGACGGGTAACCTTTCGGGGCATAACTTGGGCCTCCAGCGGCCGTTCGGGACGATGCGGACAACCCTGGAACGCTCTCGGCGATGCGCATCTGCTGGCAAGTATCCCAAGGCGGGAAAACCTCGAAGAACCGATGAAAGCTTCTGGCCCCCCCACCGCAAAAACACCACCCTCTTATCTTCACCCCCGTCTCGGAAGCTGCCGATATTTGGGAGAACCAGCAATCTGCCCAGACCGTTCCTCCCTGGACCTCTCCCGGGGTGCGCTCTGTCCAGAGTCTTCAAGCGAATCCAGGCGTGGCGACGAGGGCCTCCCAGGCGGCCACAAAACGCGAAAACGAAGCAAGGGTAGCGGTAGCGGCATCGGTACCCCTTCCTTGAGGGGCCAATTTTCAACCACCACTGCCGTAGGGAGGACGGAGGAGAAGGGAGGATGGAGAGGTCCTCCTCCTCCTCCTCCTCCTCCTCCTCCTCCTACTCCCTATGGTAGTGGTGGTGGAAGATCGGCCCTATCCTCCTCCTTTGATCGGGCGTTGGCAAGACTGGGTTTAGAGGGACCTGGTTAAGTGAAGTGCACAGGGGGATGCCCCCCCCATCTCCATTCTACTAAAGCTGCCATCACCAGAACAACAACTACGGCAGACCTGGTCTAGCGAATCCAATACATCCTTTGGACTTCGGGGCCTAAACACTAACCTGCTCCCCTTAACCTGGGTCCTGGCTATACCCGATCTGAGATATGCGACGCGAGACGACGAAGAAGGCAGCCGCGCGCCCTCCTGGCCCACAGGCGAGGAAACTGGGGCCCCCGCGGGGTGGGCCGGCCCCCGCCGCGGGGCCCAGGCGCACTGGGACATCCTGCCGGCGGAGGGGGGGGGGTAAGACGAAGCCAGGACGAAGATAACATCGGGTGAGACTGAATCGAGGCTCTCTGGAAAACGTCTCGGGCGCCGCGGCCTTCTCCGAGCGTTCCAGAAACCTCTGAGAGCGTCCGGGAACGCTCTGGAACATATTGATCCTCGTCCCAGCCCCGCACGAGGGGGGGCAATCGTGGGGGCTTGCCCTCGGGCCTCGAAGGTCGGGGAGAGCATCTGGCGAGGGGAGCTGCTCCTGTCGCCGAGCCTTGCAGGCCTGCTCTGGATCGAATCGCGAAACGAGATCGCGTCGGGGACGTATCGGATCGCCACTGGATCGTCCCGCGTCGAAGCTGAGATCGGAACCTGGCTCTGGCTGGCTCCGGCCAATGGTGGCGAATCGAACAGAATCGAATCGAATCGAAATCGCGAGCCCAACACGCGAATCGAATCGCATCGCATCGGAGGCGGGAGGCGGCCCTGTCTTGCCCTCGAGCCCTGGAAGGTCGATAAAAGGCATCTGGCGAGGTGGGCTCCTGCTCCTGCTCCTGCTGCTGCTGCCGCTGCTGCTGCCGGGACTTGCCCTCTTTCCTCGAAGATCGAGGAAAGCGCAAATTCTCCTCATGAAAAGGGACCGCACGACGGAGCCTCCAACTGTCACAGCCTGCCGCGCGATAGGTACCCGAGCTACACACGCGAGGGCAAACATTCAGCAAACGGTACCCGTGCTACTGGCCACCGCTCGGACGTCCATTCCCTGTGCTTTTTTCGGTTTCGTGCGTGGTTATTTCGCAGGATGATCCAGGATGCTCCTGAATAATCTCCGCCGAGAAAAAAACACACGTCCGAACGATACCAAAACTATACATGGCATCGAAGATCACAATCGCGCACGAAGACCGTGCGATTGCCCCGGACCCGGACAGGAAAATGACCGCTCAGCAGAGCGGAGCTTCAGCAAGTTGTTTCTCCTCGTGATATAGCGCATCTTGAAGAGGCAAGCCTGAGCCCCAAGAGCTCGTCTCCTGCAGCGTTCGGTTGATAACGCGCGAAACAGGAGAGGAGGGCAGCAAGAGCACGAGGACGCGACGACCTTGCGGCAGAACATCCAAGAACACGAGGAGGAAGAGGAGGCGGAAGAGGAGGCCGACCCGGAAGGGGGGTGGATAGCGTGGTTGCCAAACACGGCCAAGCTCTGCCATCTCGACACGTGGAAGACCGAGGAAAACAACATCTGGACGCCCTTCGCAGAACTCGTGCGCTTGCAGCACCCACTGGGGCCTCCGGCGGCTTCTGGAGGCCCTCTCTCCAGTCTGGAGGCCCTCTCCAGGGGCACCCGGGGCCTGCGGCGAGATCGACCGCCGCCAGCTTGCGGCGAGATCGAGACCGCGCCTCGACATCCGCGGAGCGAACGGCTGCAACCGCGGAGGAGGAGGAGGAGGAGGAGGAGGAAGAGGAACAGACTCCGAGCCCACCCCGCTCCTCTAAGAAGCGATGCCCCCTGGCTGCCTCCGCCGTTCGCGGCGCCCCCCCCCCAAGCCTGACCGCTTTGAGCCGCCCAGCTGCAAGTCTGGTTCTCGCCTTTTCTGCTGCTTCTGCTCAAACATCCTGCTGCTCGTGCTGAACATGATGCCCCTCCTGCATGGCTTCACTGTCTCTACCAGTTCTGATTCGCCTAACACCTGCATACGAAACTTCTATCGACTCTTGAGGAATTGAGCGGATCGAACTGTGCACATTCAAATAGTCTTTCCTCCGTTCCGTCGTCACCCCCTTCTCCACCGTCAGCTGAAGAAGGGATGGATGGCAAGTGGAAAATGGCACACGTATAGATCCCATCTGGATCCAAGACCATTTGCCTTGATAGCCGAAGCAGCCCATATTCTGTTTCAAATTTCATGTATGTTTGTTTGTTCGTTTATGTGTCCATTGCTGTTTCTGTGTCTGCTTCGATTGTTATTTATCTTAGTGCTTATGATTATGTGTTATGTTCCGTTTCCATGTATGTTTCAATCCATGTGTATATCTATATATATATAGACATCGGTGTCACTGTATGTTTCTGTTTCGGCTCATGTGTTTTGCTTGTGGTCATGTACATGTGCCCGTGTATGTGTTCGTCTTCGTGACACATTGTTTGTTGCTTCTGATTTTTGGTGCGGCACGGTTTCCGTGTTTTTGCATTACATTGTAGTGGTTCAGATCCACGCACCGCGGAATTACACTTCAACCACGCATCCAGGGTTTTTGTAAGACTTGTTCTCAAGGACAAACGTTTTGACAATTTTGGCGAAGCACGGCACGGCAGATCAAGGGCCCCCCCCCCAACTGCAGCCACAAGAAAGCCGCCACCTCGGCTGCAGGGGAGGGAAAGGGGGGAGGGGGGGAGAGAAAGAGAGAGAGACAGAGAGAGAGAGAGAGAGAGCTGCAGGGAAGTGCCAGCCAAAAGGATTTGAGGCGGTCCCCACGAGGCCCCCCAGGGGGTGAACGATTGGGCAAGTTTCTTGCGCTTTCATGTTGTACTTTCTGAATCATTTCGGCGTCGTGTTGCGCTTCTGTGTGGAATCGCGGCCTTCTGCATGCTTCTGGCAATAGTGTGGCGTCTTTCCGCTGTTTTTCACAAGGTGGCCTCCGCGGGGACATCCCGAGACCTCCCGACAGCAATGCCCGACGACGACTTGCACGACGATGGCGGCAGCGCCGAAGACAGGGAGAAGGTAGGTCAAACAGGTGCCCGGTAATCTCTCTCTCTCCTCTGGCATGCGCTGGACCCTTGAGGCCGCCACGGCCTGGGGCGAGCACCGCGACTCACGGTCGGGGGCGCATGCCCCGTCAGCGGGGAAGACCTCGTTGCAAAGTATGGATTGCGGCGCGGTTAGACGATGCGAATGATTGGCAACTGCGCTGGAGCTGGATTTCGCAATCGATGAGGGAGCCCCTGAACCACCCCTCTGGGGGCGCGCTTGAAGCTCTAGAGGTAACGCATCAAAAGCGCGACCGAACAACGCCCCATACTGAGTTTAACGATTTTGTCATAGCTTCGTATGTACGCTGTAGTTATCTTGATTTCAGTGCGTTCAATGCGAGCGCCCCCTGTGCACCCCCTCTAGCGTCGAGAAAGTGCCACGCCTGCTAAGCTTTGCCCCCAGCGCACCCCCTTTCTGGCGTCGGCAAAATGCCGCGCCTGCTGGGTTTTGCGACAATGTCGTGGATAGACACCGCGCTCAGGGACCACCCCCTGCGCACCCCCTCGGGCGTCGAGAGAGTGCCACGCCTGCTAGGCTTCGCGACAATGTCGTGGATAGACACCGCGTTCAGGGACCACTTTCTGCACGGTCCCTTCTGGCGTCGGGAAAGTGCCACGCTTGCAGAGTGTTGCGACAGTGTCGTTTGGAGGGGCGCCACGCTTAGCGACCATCCCCTGCGCACCCCCTTTGGTGGTAAGGACGTGCCACGCCTGCCGCGCTTTCCGACCCTGGCACGCATAGAGACCGCGCTGAAGGACCAACCCCTGCGCGCCCCCTCTGGTGTCGAGGATGTGCAACGCCTGCCACGCTCTCGATACCTGGCACGTATAGAGACCGCTCCGAGGGACCACTGATTGCGCACCCCCTCTGGTGTCGAGGAAGTGCCACGCCTGCCACGCTTCCCGACCCTTGCGAGCATAACGACAGCGCTGAGGGACCACCCCCTGCGCACCCCTTTTGGGGTCGAAAAAAATGCAACGTTTGCCACGCCTTCCAGCTCTGACACGCATAGAGACCGCCACCACCTGTGCACTCCCTCTGGTGTCGAAGAAATGCCACGCGTGCCGCGCATTCCCGCACTAGCACGCATAGAGACCGCGCTGCGGGCCCACCCCCTGCGCGCCCCCTCGGGTGTCGACAAAGTGCCATGCCTGCCACGATTTCCGACCCTGGCACGCGTAGAGACCGCGCTGAGGGACAAGCCCCTGCGCACCCTTTCTGGTGTCGAAGAAATGCCACACGTGCCGCGCATTCCGGCACTAGCACACAGCGCTGAGAGACCAACCCCTGAGCGCCCCCTCTGGTGTCGAGGAAGTGCAACGCCGGCCACGCTTTCCGACCCTGGCCGAGGGACCACAGCCTGCTCACCCCCTCTGGTGTCGAAGAAGTGCCACGCCTGCCACGATTCCCGGCCCTGGCACGCATGGAGACCGCTACCACCTGTGGGCCCCCTCGGGTGTCAAAGAAGTGCCGAGCCCGCCACGCTTTCTGGCACTGGCACGCATGCGCACCGCGCTGAGGGACCAACACCTGTGGGCCCCCTCTGGTGTCGAGGAAAGGCCACGCCTGCCAAGCTTTTCGGCACTGGCACGCCCACGAACCGCGCTGAGGCCCCTCCCTGCGCATCCCCCTCGGGTGTCGAAGACATGCCACGCCTGCCGTGCTTCCCGACCCCTGCACGCATAAGGACCGCGCTGAGGGACCACCACCTGCGCACCCTCCCTGGTGTCGAAGAAGCGCCACGTCTGCCGCGCTTTCTGACCTCTGCACGCATAAAGACCGCGCTGGGAAACCATTCCCTGCGCGCTCTTTCTAGTGTCGAACTGCCGCGTCTGTCGCGCTGTATCCGACACTGGCACGCATCGAATCCGCGCTGAAGGACCAACCTTTGCACGCCCCCTCTGGTGTCGAGGAAGTGCAACGCCCGCCGCGCGTTTCCGACCCTGGTAAGCATATAGACCGCGCTAAAAAACCGCCGCCTGCGCGCCCTACCTGGCGTTGGAAAATGCAACGCCTGCCGCGCTTTCAGGGCCTGGCAGGAAGGCTCGGAATTCAGGATGTTCGCAAACAGCTTTTGGGATGGGGCGTTCTTCAGCAGGTCGAGGGCGGCAGCTAAACAACTGAATGGTAATAGGCGAATGACCCGAAATTCCTGTCGAGTCGAGGACTTCAGCCATTTCTTAGCACTGACCCGAAACGTAGAGTTGATTCATCACCCACCCATGCAGCGAGACGAAGCATCTAGCAATATAAATAAGTAAGTGTCGGCCGCTATGATGATGAGTAGGATCAGGAAGTTGCAATTCCAGGAAGTCCCGAAACATATCTTCCCAATGCCGATTTCGTTGCGAACTCCAAACCGAGAAAACGACCTGCCTGTGTCCAGGGTGGCCCAGAGCATGCCGAGGGGGGCTCCGCCCCGATATTGAAATCACTTATCAAGACCACCATCCGCGTCATAGGGCTTTCCGCCGCTGCAGCGCGGCAGGTCTCAATCATTCGAAATGGCTTCCTCCTTCCCTCCACCTGGATATCGTGATTGTGAATATTGAAATGCACCAACGATTTGCCAAAAGAAAACAACATCTTAGTCATGAGCACCCGACCTCTGATCACTTCCTCGCTTGTCACGCTGGGAGCTCGCGCCCCAAGATGAGCAAAATAAGGTACTCAAGTCACCACTCCACCAGCGCGCCGCCAAAGAGGTGCCATCGACTAGGCACCAGCAACCTCGGGGCCAGCACGCGGAGCCTCTGTGTGGACTTCATCCGCATCGCACGAGGAGGGAGAAGGATCGTTGATGAAGGACGAGAGCGAGTTGAAGGACAGGTGGGAGTGGAAGAGAAAATCGTCTAGCTCGGCTTGCGACCCATGACGCTCTTGAAGCGCAACCGCACTGTTTGCTGATATATACTTCCGCAGGTAGGAGAGCTTAATAGATCTAGTAGAGGCCCTGTGATGAAACAGCGTGCGTGCGTTCCAGAATAAGGATGTCGCGGCCCAGCTAGGTCCCCCAGCAGGCCCTTGCCACGAGACAGTCAGGGCGTCAGGAACTCCATGTTGGGGCATCTGGCGTCTCGAATGCGTTCTTAAGCCGGTTCTCGAGAGCGTCCTTGTCGACGCCCATGGCCTGGAGGTTGGCGGCGCAGTGCGAAATGCCAAGGGGCTGATCCCCAGGATGAACATCAACTTTAACCAATGGCTTCCAACTCGATGAATTTTCCCCTTTGCTTGTGTCAGAGAAGATCTTCGCGTCGGCTTCGAGCCCCATGAGCTCGCGCCCGATGATCTTGGGGGCCAGCTCCTTCTTGGCAGTGGCAGGGTTTTTGCCCCCCGAGATGAAGACTTCATGCATGACATTGTTGGCGTCGGCGGCCTGGAAGCGATCCCAGGAGCCATTGGCCCTGCGCAGGGCGCCGAGCGCCCGTGCAGCACGCCGAGCAGCGTGAACCCTGGCGCCACAAAATTGAAGGACGAAGCGGCGGCCGACTGGATCTCCCTGAACATCATAGTCATCCACAACCAGATTGCTACGCTGCAGCCATGATAGGACCCCTCGGAGCACATTCTGCTGCGGCAAGAGGCCCTTCGAGCGAACGGTGATGGTCGCCTCATTGACCTCCCTCTCAAAGGACGGGTCAATCTCCTTAGGGCGCGGACGGTCAGCTCTAACCTCTCCGAGGCATTGCAGAAGATGTTGCACCTGAAGCTTGAGCTTCGAGATGGGGGAGGCGTGCTCGTCCACCGTCTTGTGCGCCTCTGCAAAGCGCTGCTCCATCCGCTTGGTCATCCCATCATAAGAGGACTTGAC